ATGGCTTAAACATATGTGAGACCTCAAAGCCCGCCTCCACAGTGACAGACTTCCTCCAATAAGACCACACCTACTGCAAAAGGCCACACCTCCTAACAGTGCCACTCCTGTTGGGGGCCATTTTTTTTTAAACCACCACAAAGTCACTTTGTAAGTAAGTGGATATGTTATGAATTATTGTGCGGGGGACCCCCGAGGGTATCCTGTGCATGCAGGGAAACATGCTGGGCAGATGTATGCGTATCATAATTTACAACTCAGACGCTGCATCCACGATGATAGGAAAGACAGAGAGAGAGAGAGAGAGAGAGAGAGCGTGCGCGAGCGCAAGCACCTCCTGGGAGGAAAAGCGGAAGAGAGAGTGAGAAAGAGAGAGAGATAAGTAAGTAAATATATATTGCAAAACATCCATACACAAAAATAGGTTTTTAATTAAAAATGACTCAGCACCTGGTAATATAAATTTAACATGTACAGATGTGGTGGCCCACTGAGGTGGCCCTTACCTGTAGTCCCAGCCAATCAGGAGGCTGAAGCAAGATCATTTGAGTTTGAGGCCAGGATAGATTCTAGAGACTGTTGTTCAAATTTCTAAAGGTCTTATAATTAAAAAAAAAAGACAAGCCGGGCGGTGGTGGCTCACGCCTTTAATCCCAGCACTCGGGAGGCAGAGCCAGGCGGATCTCTGTGAGTTCGAGGCCAGCCTGGGCTACCAAGTGAGTCCCAGGAAAGGCGCAAAGCTACACAGAGAAACCCTGTCTCGAAAAACAAAAACCAAAAAAAAAAAAAAAAGCGTGTGCCACCACTGCCTGGCTCTGTTTTCTCTCCTAGACTGAGTCAATCTCATGTAGTCCAGGGTGGTTTTGAACTCACAGAGATCCAGATGGATCTCTGCCTCCCAAGTGCTAGGATTAAAGGTGTGTGCTACCACTGCCTGGCCTCTATGTTTACTATAGTGGCTTGTTCTGATCCTCAGGTAAATTTTATTAGGGTATACAATATCACCACAAGAGACCCTGCATTAAAATAATAATAATAATAATAACAACAACAATAATCGAAAGAAACACATATCTGAGTTGGGCAGTGGTGGCACACACCTTTAATCCCAGCACTCGGGAAACAAGAGGAAGGCAGATCTCTGTGAGTTCAAGGCCAGCCTGGTCTACAGAGCAAGTTCCAGGACAGCCAGGGCTACACAGAGAAACCCTGTCTCCAAAAAACAAAAAAGAAAAAGAAAAGAAAAAAGAAACAGGTGTCTGGCATCCACTCGAGGTCAACGGAGGTTAAAGTAGCAGGAAATGCCTCTCATAGTGAGCAGACCATAAATGGAGAATTTGTGGAGGGAAATGGTTAAAAGTCACCACTATTTTACATAAGCTCAGACAGTGCACAGCAGTCTGAGGCCGTGGTTTCTGTCTGACCTACAGCACCACGGAAAGGGGAGGGACCACAGAGGGAGAATGAGCTATATTAAATGAGAGGCCTAGTGCAGCACAAGGACCCGAGTCACATCTTCAGTGCACCCCTAAAAAAGCCAAGCGCAGCGGCTCGTGCTTAGAATCGCAGCCCTAGAGAGGCAGAGACAGGGAGAGAGAGCCCTGGGACTCGTGGCCAGCCAGCCTAGCTACCTGGTAAGCCTTAGGATAGTGAATGAGCCTGTCGAAAAATAGACAAACAAATAAATAAGCAAATAAAGGCAGACAGCAGTATCTGAGGAATAGCACCCGAGGTTATCCTCTGGCCAGCACACACACACCACACACACACCCACCACACATACACACACACCACACACACACCCACCACACATACACACACACCACACACCACACACACACACCCCACACATACATACACACACACACCACACATACATACACACACCCACCACACACACACACCACACATACATACACACACACCCACCACACACACACACCACACATACACACACACCCACCACACACACACACCACACATACACACACACACACCACACATACACACACACACACACCACACACACACACACACACACACACACACACACACACACACACACACACACAGCTCTAGACTCCTAGAGATCAAAACAGTGTTTAAAAACAAAAATACAGTAGGTACAGGGCCAGGAATGTAGCTCAGTTGGTAGAATGCTTGTCATGAGGCCCTGTGGTCCATCCGCAGTACCACATGAACAGTTATGGACGTGCACACCTGTAACACCAGCTCTTCAGAAGGGGAGGCAGGAGAATCAGAAGTTCGGAGTCATCCTGGGCTACAAATTGAATCCGAGTCCAGCCTGGTCTACATGACACTGTCTCATCAAAAGAGAGGAGAGAGAAAGGAAAGGAAGAAGACAGAGAAACCACTCCGTGAGTTTCTAGCACATGAGACACACAAAAGAGAGAACCGACACAGAGTTCTAAGTGTGAGTCCCTGGCACCACCCAAAACAAAACAACCTCAAAAAAACGAAAAATACATGGTACAGAGGTTCACGCCTATAACCCCAGTCCTGGAAAGGCCGATGATTGCCAGGAGTTTGGGCCAGCCTGGTCTACATAGTGAGAAAACAACAGCGGGTGCTGGAGAGATGACTTAGTGGTTAAGAACATGGTGCTCTTGCAGAGGACCCGGTGTGGCTCCCAGCAGGCAGCGTTAGCATTGATTGTCGTCAGTGAATTTGTGTATGTGTGTGTGTGTGTGTGTGTGTGTGCGTGCGCGCGCGCGCGCGCGCGCGCGCGCGCATGTATGTATGTATGAAGATAGGAGGGGAAAGTGTTGGGGGAGTGGAGGGAGGAGTTGGGGTGGATATGATGAAGATTTATATACATGAATGAAATTACAAAGAGTAAATAAAAGGTAGTAAAAAGAGATGGAACAGTGGTTAAGAGAACTTTCTTTTTTTGCAGAGGACCCTGGTTTGGTTCCCAGCACCCATATGGTAGCTCACAACCATCTGTTGTTCCAGTTCCAAAGGCTCTGATACCCTCTTCTGAGCTCCATGGGCTCTTGCACACACATCACACACACACACACACACACACCAGTAAATAAATAAAAATAAACCTTAAGGGCTTAGTTAGCATTTAAGCGCACTAGCTGCTCTGGCAGAGGATCCAAGTTTGGTTTCCAGCACCCACATGGTGGTTCACAGCTGTCCATAACTCTAGTCCTAGGGGATCCCATGCCTTCTTCTGAACTCTTTTGTTTGTTGTTTTTTCAAGACAGGATTTCTCTGTGTAACCTTGACTGGCCTTGTAACTCCCTAGTACTTGGATGCATACACTACCACCACCTGGCTTCTTCTGAACTCTTGGGGCACAAGTCACTCATATGGTTCACAGACATACATACAGGCAAAAATAATTTTAGACATAAAATAGTAATAATTTTTAAAACCTTAAAAATATTTTTTAAGACAGGCTATGGTGACACACGCCTCTAATCCCAGCACTCCGGAGACAGAGGCAGACAGATCTCTGTTAGTTCGAGGCCAGCCTGATCTACATACAGATCAAGTTCCAGGACAGCCAAGGCTACGTAGAGACACCCTGTTTAAAAAAGAAAAAGAAAAAGAAAGCAGGAGGTGGCAGCTGTTTGGGTGTCTGGTTGGTTTTGCTTGTTTTATTCTTGTTATCTGTCGTCAACTTGACAAGCTCCACTTATCTGGAGCAGGATCCTCAGTGAGAAAATGTCTCCTCACATTGTCTGTGGAGCATTTTCTTGATTAATGATTGCTGGGGGAGGGCTAGGCCCACCTCACTGTGGGTGCTGTCACTCCTGGGCAGGTAGCCTGGGTTGTGTAAGAAAGCAGGCTGAGCAAGCCACAGGGGGCAAGCCAGTGAGCACAGTCCTCCATGGTCCCTTCTGCTCCCGTCCCCAGGATCCTGCCTTGATTTCTGCTCTCCATGATGGATTGTGATGTGCAAGTGTAAGCTGAAATAAGCCATTTTGAAATAAGCCCAAACTGGTTTTGGTCCTGGTCTTTATCATAGCAGTAACAACACTGAGACTGTGGGTAAAAGTCTCAGAGCTGAGAAACAGAATTTTGAAGACTCTGGTCCTGTCCGCTTGCAGCCTAGCAAGGTCTCTCGGTGGCGCCCCCTGCTGCTGCTCAGCGCACCACCAGAAATGAGCCAGTGCATTGAATTTCCTGCTTTGATGAGCTCGCCTGCTGTGGTGGCTCTTTGGTGGTCTTTTAATGTCATCGTCTCTAGGTTGTATTTTTGGAAGAAGGAAAAGAGCAGAGAGCTGGATGTGGTGGCTTGAGGTGGAGGCAGCAGGATCAGGAGTTCAAGTTCCCCCTTGGCTCCATGGCGAGTCCAAGGCCAGCCAGGGCAGCATGAAACCCTGTCACAAAAAAACATCACCAGGCAGGGCAGGATAAGCGGGGGAGACAGTTCCACTCATCTTTGCGAAGTTCACCTGGTGAAGAAGTTGAAATTGTAGCCTTCCAAGGTCAAGCATTTTTTGTCCCCAACTGCCATTAGCTTAGAATTTCAGAAACACATGGATCTGATGTACTCGGCTAGTGGACTTGAAACGCTGCTTTTGCTGTTGTTGTTTTGGGACTAAGTCTCTGGTAGCCCAGGCTGGCCTTGAACTTGGTATGTAACCGAGGATGACTTAGAACTCTCTGATCTTTAAATACTAGCTTTACTATTTTCTGAATTCAAAGCCAAGCTGCGTAAGAGCTTCTGCCCCCTCCCCCCCACTTCCCCTAGGACCAGCCCTGCCGCACACAGCCGCTTTCGCCGAGACGTCGCCATGCCCAGTCACCTGTCTTGGACTAAGAAATAGTTTCCAGTCGTCTATTTGGGAGTCTCCCCTAGAGAAGGATCCATCTTTCATACAACACAGCCTTACAAAATTCACATGGTGTCGGTGGCCCATCCCGCCACTGTGGGGCTGTACGTGAATGAGGAAAGACCTCAACCAAAGTTCGGAACCAAGGAGGAATCCAGAGAGAGTGAGCCCACCGGGGAGGGCCTGGGATGGCTCGTGGGTCAAGGCCCTTTCTGACAGGCCTGATGTTTGATCCCTTGATTCACATGGTGGGAGGCAAGAATCACACATGAGCCATGACACATGCACTCTATATACACATACAATCCTAAACAAATACATTAGCAGCCATGACACACACATGCTATATACACATAGAATCCTAAGCAAATACATTAGCAGCCATGACACACACATGCTATATACACATAGAATCCTAAACAAATACATTAGCAGCCATGACACACACACCCTATATACACATACAATTCTAAACAAATTCATTAGCTAATTAAAAAACATCAACTGGGGAGCTAGAGAGATGGTTCAGTACTGAGTACTTGCTGCTCTTTTAGAGGGCCCAGGTTCACCTCCCAGGTTAGGTTCCCAGCACCCACATGGCAGCTCACAACCTGGATCTGTAACTCCAGTTCCAAGGGATCTGACACCCTCTTCTGGCCTCTCCAGACACACACGTGGTTGGCACACATCCATACTTGTAGGTAAACACTCACACATATAAAAATCTTTAAAACAATTAAACTGGGGAAAGATTTTCGTTTTTTTTTTTTTATTATGGGTTGTGCACATGGAGGTGAGTGGACAACTTTGTGGAGTTGGGTCTCCCCTTCCACCTTTCTGTGGGTTGTGTGAATGAAACTCGGGTTGTCAGGCTTGTGTGACAGATGCCTCAACCCACTGAGACAGCTCGCAAGCCCTTTTTTTGCTGTTGTTTGAGATAGGAGCTCTATGTAGCCCAGGCTGGCCTCGAACTCACAGAGATCCACCTGTGTCTGCCTTGAAAGTGCTGGGATTAAAGGTGTGCGCCACCATGCCCAGCCACTGGTCTTTAAAAAGTAGAATTCTCAGGGTTCCCTGACCGTGAAGGCTCATACATTCTACCCCCCAGTCCAGAGAAGGCTGCCTGCCTGGTTGGGCTGTCTTTCCAGTCAAGTGTTTGATGGGCCTCATTGGTTTGGTGAAGGAGAATAGACAATTACGTAAATTCATCTCATGGTAAAGTTGCTCAGCTGGGCACATCTGAGACCCTGGCTTCCACCCCATTATCAAATAGGTGTGTATAATAGTTGTGTTTGGACTCCTCCGTGGGTAGCTTTGTCACCTCAGAGTCTGGGGTGACAGATAATCTCAGTGCTTCCGGTGCTAATGGGACTGAGTTACCCTCACAGCACTGTCAAGTAGAGGAGCTGGATACTGGTGTCAGCAGGGGAGGAGGGAAACTGGGAGAGGGGTGTGTGTGTGTGTGCGCGCGTGCGTGCGTGCGCGTGTGCATGTACATGTGTGTGGAGGCTGGAGGTCAGCCTTGGGCAACATTCCTCAGAAGTTACCGACTTTATACTTGAGACAGGGTCTCTCCCTGGGAGAGCTTGTGGCTTCTGCTGGGAGGGCCAGCCAGCCAGCGAGTCCAGGCTTCCCCCTGTCTCTGTGCTCCTCAGCATGGGGGTGACCAGTGTGTAACACCATGTCCAACTTACTATGTGGGTCTGGAAATAGAACTCACCAGCTGAGCCGTCTCCTCAGCCCCCTCATTCACAGTTTTCTTAATTAATTTGTATCAGAGCCTTAGGTACTTTATTTATTTCTGTGATGCTGAGATCAAACTTCAGCATCTCATGTGCTTCTCATGTGCTGGACCACTGACCCTATCCTCAACTTTAGAAATTACGTTTAGAAGGACCATACATGTTAATGTGTACTTTAAAAAAAAAAAAGATTTATTTATTTATTATGTATACAGTGTTCTGTTTGCATGTATCCATGCAGGCCAGAAGAGGGCGCCAGATCTCATTACAGATGGTGAGCCACCATGTGGGTTCTGAGAATTGAACTCAGGACCTCTGGAAGAACAGCCAGTGTTCTTAACCTCTGAGTCATCTCTCCAGCCCCGATAATGTGTACTTTTAACCTCAGCACTCTCAGGCAAAGGCCAGGGAGAGTTCAAGGCCAACCTGGTCTACATAGTGAGTTCCAAACCAGCCAGGGATACATAGTGAGACTCTGTCTCAAAAACAAACAAACAGACCGAACATAAGGATATTAAGGATACAGGGATACTCCATTTAAATAGCCTGGTTGAAGTAAATAATACATGTTTTATAGGCCGAAAGATACATTGGAATTGGGCAGTTTATTCCATGTGATTGTGATGTCTGGAAATGAGGTGTGGTTTATAATGATTTGAGCTAATGCATGTTAGATATTGGGATGTATTATGGGTTTCTTTTGTGTGTATGTTTTCTGTTTTATGGTATTTGTTTGTTTGAGGCAGCTTTTTAATGTAGCCCTGGCTGTCCTGGTACTCATTAGGTAGATCGGGCTGTCCTTAAACTTGCATTAAGCCTCCTGCCTCTGCCTCCCAAGTGCTGAGAATACAGATGTGTGCCACCGTGCCTGGCTTGTGTGACAGATTGGCATATCCCTTTGATGATAGCTTTCCTGTTTCCTTCCCAGGCCTGTTTCCAGAAGTCATGTGTTCAGGAACATTCGTGCCAGCATGACCTCAAATGACTTAAGCCTGGGTCCTAGAGCCCATTTCCCATGCTGGCTGTTCTTAGTTTGGCCGTCAGTGTTGTCTTCTGTACAGGTCCTCTCCCTTCCTCCTTTCTCACTGTCATCTCTCCTCAGCCTGGCTTCTCCTCAGCTGGTGTACTCAGCCCAATCACTCAGCAGCCCAGCAAACCCAGCTACCCCAGGAAGGTCCCTCAACAGGAGTACTTACCCTTCCATGCTCTTCCAGAGTAGAGAAAGTACCCTTCCCTGTGGGAGGGAGGGACTTCTACATCTGTTAGGCCTTGCGACTGATCTGGGGGAACCGAAGGGAGAAGGGAGTTTGAACAGGGAAAAACCTCTCCTTAGGACTCTCTCTTCCCTCTGCCGGCCCTGGGCATGCCCCTCCTCTGGGCATCTCTTCAGGATTTCATTCCTCAGTCCAACTGCCGTTCACAACTGCCCTTTCCAACTGCTCCAGAACTCTTGGCCCTGGCGTTCTGTGATGTAAATTATTCCACGCATGGCTTGAAATGGGTGAGAAGCAGGGTTGCCAGGTGTCGGATCACTAGTGTAAGTTGACTGGCTCTCGGGGGAGAACCTCTCCTAGAATTTGTTGAGTTGTTACTGTCTGGGCCAGAGCTGTGCTGGCCATGCTTGGGGCTGCTGCGGGCAGGGAGAGGGAGCTCTGGGCTGGAGTCGGGGGAATTTCTGCGGGAGGTTTTCTTCTTTAAACACTCTCAGTCCAGGCATGGATTATTCAGCATTGAACTTAGACGGTATCGCTGCACTGGGAAGCACCCGGGCCCCGTGGCCAGAGCCCGGACCGCCCGCAGCACAGGGCTTCCTGCTCTGTCTCCGGATGTGGGAAGGACCCGCTTTCTGCCCTCCTAGAGATCGCCAAAATACGTTGAGAAATCTAAATTGCTCTCCGTGTTCAGAAGCGTCTAGTCACATCACTGAAAGGCTTCGGAGTCTGTGAGAACTTTTCTAAAGCAAATTTTCTGTCCCCTTGTCCATCTATATTTGATGGAGTTACTCTAGAGTCCTACAGGGAGTCCACATGTGAGAGATTGATGCCAGCTATCCTAGACTTTTCTAGACTCTGTTTACCCATAAGTAGAAAACAAGCTATAGTAAAAGCAATTGAAGTCAAAAACTTTTTCAAGTGACTGTAAATTTTATGTATTTTACCTTTATTTTTATTGGCTTTGTTTTTGAGATAGGGTCACATGTAGCCCAGGCTGGCCTCAAACTTGTCATGTAGGCAAGGGTAGCCTTCGCCTCCTGATCTTCCTGTCTCTACTTCCCAACTTCTGGGATCATAGGTGTGTACCACCCACCATGCCTGGCTTGCTTGCTTATTTACTCTTTATTTATTTATGAGCTGGGGTCTTGCTGTCCAAGGCAGGCCTTGAACTCTTGAACTCAAGTTCCCCTCCACTCAGTCCTACCTGAGTAGCTGGGACTACTGGCAAATGACACTAGGCCCACCACCCACAGCATTTCTCAAATGACACACTTGATCATGGGCTAAAGGAACGCTCACGCGCATGCCGGTTACTCTGACAGGAAAGCTCAGGCTGTCACATTGTGTCGCACGCACACTGCCGGCCACTTTGCTCAAACTCACTCTCGTCTCTCTTTGCAGTTGTCATGGATGATGATGACGACTCGTGTCTCCTTGATCTTATTGGGTAAGATGCTCTTCGGAACCCAGGGTGGACCACTTGTGTGAGGTTTGAGAATGAAAACAGCTCAGTGGGAATCTTGAAAGCTGCTTGCTGGGCTTTGAAAATAAAAAATAATAATTAACTGTGGTTGCAGCAGAGAGACAAAAGAGAGAGCTTCACATATGCGTGTAATTCAGTAATCCATTCCTGTTTTGTTAAGTCCCAAGATGCCAGGCCAGGGTGTTCCTTATGGTTAGAGGGCCAGCCTCCACAAACCAGGTCCTGAGTGCCGTCCCTGGGACTAAGCAGGGGCTGGTTCCAGGAGGCAGAAATGAAGAAATTACTTAAAATAGGGAGATTTTGCTCAAGCTAATAATGTCGCTTTCTTTTTGCCTTCTTAAAAGCATCAACAACATATTTAAGTATGAGTAAGAGTGTTCATTTGTTTTTCCTCTCTTTTCTTTCTTTCCTAGAGACCCACAAGCATTGAACTATTTTCTGCACGGACCTAGTAATAAGTCGGTAAGTGACACTTGAGTATCTCAGACAGACTTGGCCTTTGTCTCTCCACACCCTGCCAGTAACCACCATGTTGAATTTGCCCCTTTGCAGAGCAGCGATGACCTGACCAGTGCAGGGTACTCTGCAGCCAATTCAAATTCAATCTTCGCCAACTCCACGGTGAGTACTGGAAACAGCGCGCAAGCTGTCTGCCTCAGAGAAATCTTGGAAACTTCAATTGCCTTTGTAGCATGATAAGAATCATTACCTCTCATTGCAGTTTACAGGAGAGGAAAATCTCCTGATTATGTCAGTGTTTTCTTTTGCTCATATAAGTCAGACTTATATGAGTATTACCTCACCGGTTTCTTTGTTTTTAGCATTTATATATTTTATGTGTGTATATAGGGGAGGAGGTGACATGTTGTGCCCATGTGTATATGTGCATGTGTGTGTGTGCCGATATGTACATGTGCATGTGTGTGTGTGCCGATATGTACATGTGCATGTGCATATGTACATGCAGAGGTCAGAAGGACAACAACCATAAGTCAGATCTCTCATTCCACCATGTGGGTCCCAGGGATTTTGAATTCAGTTCTTTAGGCTTGGCGGCGGCAGGCACCTTCGCCCACTGAACCACCTCTGGCCCTACATTTCCGTTTCCTCAGCTTTCAGCCTTGTGAAAGGACTCCATTGTTGTATGTGAGGAAGGCATAGTAGAATGTGTTCAGTCTTGTTTAAGGAAGCTGGTTTTGTTTTTTGTTTTTTTGAGTCAGGGTTTCTCTGTGTAGCTTTACTCCTTTCCTGGATCTTGCTCTATAGACCAGGCTGGCCTCGAACTCACAAAGTTCCGCCTGCCTCTGCCTCCCAAGTGCCTGGCCGGAAGCTGTTTTTAATTATAGTTACTTACAAATAATTTTAATCTGAAGCAAAGAAAAAAGTAATAACTAATGCTTATTGAGGGTGTAGCATGTACCTGTTACTGAGGTCTTGTATAAACTGCACTCAGCGTTCACAGTACCTACAGAAAGTGGTTTTACCATTAGCTCTGTTTTGTAGACAAGGAGGCTAAGGTACAGAGAGTTTTTACTCAGCCTAAAATTACATGAGGCACGTAGCTAGGATTCTGACTCAGGCCCCAGCTTCTAGAGCCTATGTTGTTAAGCTCTAGGAGAATGTAGACAGGGTGGGAACTGAGGAATCTTACTTGGAGACTCTCTAGATCACTATGTATAAGAGCTTAGTAGGTGGGAGTGCTTGCTGTGGCAGAGTAAGGACCTGAGTTCAAATCCCCAGACCTACATAAAGAGCCAGGCTTGGCTGCAAAAGTGCCTATAGCCCCAGTGCTGGGGGTCTGAGATGGAAGGATTGCTGGGGCTTCCTGGCTGCCAGCCTAGCTCCAGCTTCAGTGAGACCCCAATTCAAGGGTGTGAGTTAGAGGGTGCTAGAGCAGGACACCAGACATCTTCTGGCCTCTATCCATGCACACCAGGACCCGTGTATGCATTATGCTACACATACCATACACACACAGAAGAAGAATTACTGCTTAAACTTGTATTACCTTAATCTTTTCCATCACATTCTTCTACAGATGATGGTTTGCTATGGGACTGCTCAAATCTTTGTCCTTCCTGCCCCTTCTGAGTCATGTTAATCTTGGGTGTATCTGTAAATCTCAGCAATGTCCTGTTTTCTCAGTAGGAAAGCACAATAACAAACCGTCTCACAGTGGTCCATGGAAACCACTTGGTGTAGTCAACAATGTGGACTCGCCACCATCATCACAGTCTTTATGTCCCTCTTCTGGAGAACTCCATGGCATGCAGAGAGTCTGTGGCCATGCTCAGGTCCTTCAAGTATCTCCGGGTATTATCTGATCACATCCTTCGAGACCTCTTGACCTGCTTCTGTGGCTTCAAAGCCTCCCAGCGCATGTCCTGGAGACTTGTGACTCAGTGTCCTTTTTATTTTTCTTGTGGTTCTGGCGATCCAACCCAGGACTTCACGCATGGTAGACAAAGGCTCTACCCACTGAGCTACAGTCCCAGCCCCTTCTTTTCTGTTCTTGAGGCTGGATTTCATCCTGGGTCCCAGTCGGCCCTCAAGCTCTCAGCGATTCTCCGACCTTAGCCCCTAATGCTAGAGTTAGAGGTGCCAGCCACCCTGCCTGACCTCCACCTTCATCCTGCCCTCGCTCACTTTCCCCATGATTCTCCAAGATTTGCTGTGAGGTGGTCCTGCCTGGCTTTTCTGTCTAATCATTTAGCCCATAATGCCTCATTAGCTGGGGACTCAGTATTGTTAACATTTTGCAAATCAAAATACTTGTTTTTTGAGGTGTTTGTTTGTTTGAGACAGGGTCTCTCTTCACAGTCCTAGCTGTTCTGGAACTGGCTGTGTAGATCAGGCTGGCTTTGAAGTTGCAGAGCTCCACCTGCCTCCAGAGTGCTGGGATTAAAGGCCTGTGCCACCACGCCCAGGTTCTCTATTCATGTGTGAGACAGTCTCAGAGTGTAGCCCGTTAGCCTCGCACTTGCTGTGTAGCCCAAGATGACCTCGAACTCTTGACAGTCCTAAGCTTAAGTTCTGAGACTCCGGGTGTGAGCTACCACATCTCAGCCTGCTTTTCACATGTTCTCTATAAAATAATCTGTCAAAGCAATGAAATAAAATAGGACAGATAAGGCAAGCAGTTTGGAGTGAGTTGTGTCTTACAGGAGGGCTGCAGGTTCGAGGCCAGCCTGAATAAGACCTTGTTTAAAAGTAACGAAAAATTGGAGTGCTTTGAAAACCTATCATTAAGCTTTATTTATATTCATTCCAGAGTGAGATTTTTACGGTTTCTTCTGAAGGTTCCATGTGCCTTGTAACATGCTGCTTCTGCTTTTTAGAACGCTGACCCTAAATCGTCCCTCAAAGGTGTAAGTAGCCAGCTTGGAGAAGGGCCCAGTGATGGACTGCCCCTTTCAAGTAGTCTTCAGTTTCTTGAAGATGAACTTGAGTCTTCTCCTCTTCCTGATCTCGGCGAGGACCAACCCTTTGATATTCTTCAGAAGTCCTTGCAGGAGGCTAATATCACTGAACAGACGTTGGCCCAAGAGGCGTACCTGGATGCCAGTATAGGCTCAAGCCCACAGTTTGCACAAGCTCAGCTTCATCCTTCTTCATCAGCATCCTTTACTCAGGCTTCTACTGTTTCTAATTACTCAGGTCAGACACTGCAGCCTATCGGGGTGACTCACGTGCCTGTTGGAGCATCGTTTGCAAGCAATACAGTGGGTGTGCAACATGGCTTTATGCAGCACGTGGGGATCAGTGTTCCCAGCCAGCATTTGCCCAATAGCAGCCAGATTAGTGGCTCTGGGCAGATACAGTTAATCGGGTCATTTGGTAGTCAGCCTTCCATGATGACTATTAATAACCTAGATGGCTCACAAATCATATTAAAAGGCAGTGGGCAGCAAACCCCAACCAATGTGAGTGGAGGACTTCTGGTTCACAGACAGACTCCTAATGGCAACTCGTTGTTTGGGAACTCCACCTCCAGTCCGGTAGCACAGCCTGTCACCGTTCCATTTAACAGCACAAATTTTCAGGCATCTTTACCTGTGCATAACATCATTATTCAAAGGGGTCTCGCACCAAATTCAAATAAAGTCCCAATTAATATCCAGCCAAAGCCGATCCAGATGGGTCAGCAGAATACGTACAATGTGAACAACCTGGGGATCCAGCAGCACCATGTACAGCAGGGGATCTCCTTCGCCTCCGCAAGCTCACCCCAGGGCTCCGTGGTTGGTCCACACATGTCTGTGAACATTGTCAACCAACAGAACACCGCGAGAAAGCCTGTCACCTCCCAGGCCGTGAGCAGCGCAGGGGGCAGCATCGTCATTCATTCCCCCATGGGCCAGCCTCACACCCCCCAAAGTCAGTTCCTTATACCTACCAGCCTTTCCGTCAGCTCCAACTCGGTACACCATGTCCAGACCATAAATGGGCAGCTGCTTCAGACTCAGCCCTCTCAGCTCATCTCTGGCCAAGCGGCCTCAGAGCATGTCATGTTGAATAGGAATTCTTCTAACATGCTCAGGACCAACCAACCCTACTCTGGACAGATGCTTAACAACCAGAACACCGCCGTCCAGCTAGTGTCTGGGCAGACTTTTGCCACCTCTGGAAGTCCAGTGATTGTCAACCATGCCTCTCCTCAGATGGTTGGAGGACAGATGCCCTTGCAGCGGGCATCACCGACAGTATTACATCTGTCACCGGGGCAGAGCAGCGCTTCCCAAGGAAGACCAGGCTTTACCGCCATGTCCTCGGTGACCAACATGTCAGGACCCACTCGGTTCCCTGCTGTTAGCTCGGCCAGTACTGCTCATCCCAGTCTTGGGTCCACAGTGCAGTCTGGGGCATCGGGATCAAACTTCACGGGAGACCAGCTGGCACAACCAAACAGGACTCCGGTACCGGTCAGCGTGCCCCATCGTCTTCCAGTCTCTTCTTCCAAACCTACCAGCACTTTCAGCAACACCCCGGGAACGCAGCAACAGTTCTTCTGTCAGGTTAGTGTCGGTCACGTGGTTCCACGGGTGGGAAGCCGGAATTTTTGTTGTATTCACTCAAATACCATTTTCTCCTCAGGTGAGACTTTCTTATTAACTTGAGTTTTCAGTTTATGGTTGACTGTTCCCCCTTCTTAAGGAGAGCTCCCAGCCCATGGGGCATTAGAGTGAAAACCTGGGATGAAATGGACTTGGGGCCAGTGAGATGCTCAGCAGGTAGACAGTGCCAAGCCTGAGGACCTGAGTTTGACCCTGGGACCCCATGGTGGAAGGAGACAGCCGCCCCCCAGCGTTGCCCTCTGACATTGACACACGTGCTGTGTTAGCATACTGTCTGTCAGTGAGATGGAACACCAGGACCAAAGGTGCCTGAGGAGGAAGGGTTTGTGCGGCTCCCATCTCTCTGTCACGTCCATCACTGAGGGAGTCAGCGCTGTAATTCAGAATAGACCTGGAGCCAGGAACCAGTGCAGAGGCCATGGAGGAATGCTGCTTACTGGCTTGCTCCCCATGGCTTGCTCAGCTTGTTTCTTCTTTCTTTTGTTGTTTGTTTGTTTGTTTTGAGACATGGTCTCACTACGTAGCCCTGACTGTCCTGGAACTCACTATGGAGACCAGGCTTGCCTTGAACTCATAGAGATCCACCTGCTTCTGCTGGGATTAAAGGCGTGAGCCACTACGCCCAGCTTCTTAGCTAGTTTCTTATACACCCAGAACTACATGCCCAGGGATGGCCTTGCCCACAGTAGGCTGGGCCCTCCTACATCATTTAACCATCAAGAAAGTGCCCCACAGACATGCCCCCAGGCCAGTCTGATGGAGGCCATTTCCTCAGGTGACTTCAACAGATGACTCCAACTTGTATGAGTTGACAAAAAACTACTACAAGGTTGCACTTGTGTGCAGACACATATAAACACACTTGTGTGCACACACATATAGACACATATAAACACACTTGTGTGCACACACATATAGACACATAAACACACTTGTGTGCACACACATATAGACACATAAACACACTTGTGTGCACACACATATAGACACATAAACACACTTGTGTGCACACACATAAACACACTTGTGTGCAGACACATGTAGACACATATAAACACACTTGTGTACAGACACATATAGATACATATAGACACACTTGTGTGCAGACACATATAGACACACTTGTGTGCAGACACATATAGACACCCTTGTGTGCAGACACATATAGACACACTTGTGTGCAGACACATATAGACACACTTGTGTGCACACATAGACACACTTGTGTGCACACACACATATAAACACATACAAATAAGTGCAATATATGTAAGACGAATTGCTCAACGGTCTTATTAATAAAAAACCCAGAGCCAGTATTGGGGTGAAAAACCGAGAGACCAGAGGAATAGGACAAGCCACAGCCAACCTCACCTCACCAACTCCTCAACTTCCAAAGAGACCTACTTCCTGTATACCCACGCCTATATATATGCCTTTCTGTCCCTGCCATCTCACTTCCTCTCCGCCCAACTACATCACTTCCTCTTCCTGCCCACCTCTGTCACTTCCTGTCTGTCTATACAGTTAACTAGTGTTGAGATTTAAGGCATGTGCCACCATGCCTGCTCTGTTCCCAGTGTGGCCTTGAACTCACAGAGATCTAGATGGATCTCTGCCTCCCGAATGCTAGGCTCAAAGGCATGTGCTCCCATTGCCTTTGTTTGACCTCTATTTTAATATAGTGGCTGACTTTTTCCTCTGATCCTCAGATAAGCTTTATTAGGGTACACAATATATTGGGGGACAAATATATCACCACATACATATTTTTTTAATTCTTGAGTTTGAATCTAGGATTTATTAGGTGAATGACATGCAGCCAGTAAAATCACCCCTATAGACTTCATTCTCATGAGTGAAATGGGCTAATATCACCATACCATGGAGTTTACTGGAGGCAAGCTGTATCTTTCCAGGGCACTGTCCTGAGACTGATTTTAACTAGGCCTCGTCTCCTAGTGATGCCATCAGATTATGAATCCATCAAGGACTAACCCATTGAGCAGGCCAGAAACTTCAGGATCTAGACACTTCCCAAAAGACCATCAACTAGCAACCCCGTCATTACTGTATGAACATTGCAGCTGATGAACATGGCTGCTGCTGGTGACCCACCTGCAAGGCTCAGGGACTGTGCCACTCAGAGCGGTCACTGGCCCTGCCCAGAGGGAGGCAAGTGTGTGTGTCACAGAGTGGGGGAGGTGTCAAGGGCACTGTCCTTGGACTAGTACCTGAGCCTGCCCAGTTGGTAAAAACACAAAGAGATTGTTGCTGAAAAGCTCTCATGTGGTCCTCGGCTTGTGTCCTTGACTCATTGGCAGACATTTCCCTTTCTCCTCCTCATTTCCTCAGTGAGAGCGTGCTCCATAGGGTCAGACACGTGGCTCAGGGAGAGCATGCTCCATAGGGTCAGACACGTGGCTCAGGGAGAGCGTGCTCCATAGGGTCAGACACATAGTTCAGGGAGAGCGTGCTTTACCTGGCTTGAGGCCCTGGGTTCCCGCCTCAGCACATTAACAGGTACCAAGCACGTTAATTATCGCTGGTACTCCTCCCACCCAAGAGGACTTGCTGTTCAACCTGCTCCCATCCACACATCTGCCTCCTCCGTCATCATCTCCACAGCCTTCTCTACATTCAGAAGTCTCTGGAACTTACATTCCTATAGCAGTAATTCATTGTCAATCTTTTAAATATACAGACACCAATCTGTGTACCTCTGAGGACTCCTGCACTCAGGTGTACAAATCCACACAGAGGCACACACATAGACTTTAAAATAAAAATAGGGATGGCTCAGCCATTAAGAACACTGGCTGCTTTTACAAAGGACTGGAGTTCAGTTCCCAGCACCTGCATGGCAGCTCCCAAACTCTCTGAAACTCCAGTCCCAGGAATCTGACACCCTCTTCTGGCCTAGGTGGGCACCAGACACACATGGTGCATAGACATACACACTGGTAAAACACCATACACATTTAAAAAAAAAAAAAGACAGATCCCCAAGATCAGGAAAGGAGCCTGATCATGCAGGCTTTGTTCCCAGACAGCCCCACTTCCCAGCAACACCCTGAAAGCAAAAGAAGAAAGAAATCCTTTCGTTTTAGTATGCGGAGTCCAAGGCCTTGGCTCATCTCGACACCATGCTTTAAAAGCTACAACAGATTCTCCAGTTTTGCTGCTGTTGTTTTTACCGGGTTGTTTCTTGACATACTTATTTATCTTGGGGTGGGACACACATAAGCTGTGAGCACCTGTGGAGGTCAAGGGAAAACTGTAGGGGTCCCCTCACCCCAGGAATAAGACTCAAGGCCCAGGCTTGGTAGCCAGTGCCTTAACTGGCTGAGCCATCTCCCCAGCTCTAGTTTATTACATGTATTTATTCCTGGGGGGGGGGGGGGGGGGCGGTCAGAGGACAATTTGCAGGGGTCAGTTCTCTCCTTCCTCCATGTGAGTTCTGGGGATTCAGTTCAGTCATCGTCAAGCTTGGTAGCAAGCCCTTCACCTGCCATGTCATCTGTTTTATGTGTGTGGTGTTTTGCCTGCATGCATGTCTATGCACTACTTCCCAAAAGCATGCCTGGTGCTCAGCGAGGCCAGAAGAGGGTATTGGAGCATCTGGAATTGGAATCACGTATGGCATGAGCTACCATGTGGGTGCTGGGAACCAGACCCTGGTCCTCTGCAGGAGCAGTAAAACCTCTTAACCACTGAGCCAGGTCTCCAGCCTCCAGCTGCACTTTCTTGCTGACCCTGTGTTTTGTGTTTTAAGACAAGTTCTCAAATGGTAGCCTAGGCTGGTCTGAAATTTTCTGTGTAGCTCAGACTGGCCTTGGATTTGAGCAGTCCTGTTTCTGCCTCCTAAGTCCTGGGATTATAGGCATAGGCACCATGCCCCTCCCCCATCAATCTCTGTCCTTACGTTTTAGAAAGGTATGAAGCATGTGTGTGTGTGGGGGGGGGGGGTTGGTGTATATGTGTGTTTTCTGAGACAGGATTTCAGTGTGTAACAGCCTTAGCTGTCCTGGAACTTGCTTTATAGATCAGGCTAACCTTGAACTCAGAGATCCTCCTGCCTCTGCCTCCTGAGTGCTGGGATTATAGGCATGTACCCACTGCCCGGCAGAAGCAGTTCTTTTCACAGTGCCCCTGGGTTTGGATTGCTATGAGTACACTTGGAGTATCATTTTCCGGGTTGTCAGATGCTGTGCCCTCCAGACTCTCAGTGTGATTGGTCCTGACCCTGGTACCGTTAACTCTGAATACTGGGTGTCCTGCTGGGTATGGTGGTGCACACTGTGATCCCAGCATTGGGTGATGGAGGCGGGAGGGTTGATCAGGTGTTCAAAACTAGCCATGGCTACATAGTGAGCTTGGGGCCACCTGGGTCACCTGAGACCCTGATTTTCACACATCAGAAATCCTTGAGACTCCTTTCAGGTGTCTACACTAGCCCCCACTGCCAATGGCAAGCCTGACTTTCCCCAGGGTCCCCGGCTGCTCTGCACTGAGAGTGAGTGCCCTCTGGGTGGTCTTCCTCCTCCTCAGTGGTGTTTAGACCCACAGGCTCTTCTTTTACACAGTGGACACAGGCTGGCTGATGTGGCTTTTATCCCAGTCTATCCCAGACCGGGCCGATGGTGCCCTCCACATGGTCTGCCGTCCCTTTTGCCAAATGTCCTTCGTGATTTGAATGCCCTTCACCAACAAAACACTTCATTCTGTATTCATTATTTGATTTCTCTGCCCCTTTCCTGGAATCAACACTTTGTTTGTTTTTTTTTCTTTGAGACAAGGTCTTGCATAGCCCAGGGTGGCCTCAAAGTTGTAGTGTGGTCAGGATAGCCCTGAATTCCTGATCCTCCTCCAAGCCCCACCTCCCAAGTGCTGGGATATAGGCATGTGTCACCACGCCTGACTGGAATCTTCTTTTTTTT